CTGGCCTCCCTCAGCTTTGCCTTCTGCTCTCTGCTCACGGTACGTTCCCTGCACCTGCTGCTCGCCCAGGGGCAGGGCGCCGCCCTGGTTCTGCACCCAACCCCGGTGCCAGCAGCCGGGGGTCTCCTGCATGGAGCCTCAGCTCCTGGGCACGGCCAAGTGGCCTCTCTCCTTTCCTTCTGCTGCCCAGGGCAGCTCTGTCCTCTCGCTGGCCCGGTCCCTGAGCGGCTCCCTGCGGGCGCTAGACCTCTCCTCTTGCATCTCCATCACCAGCCGCCTCCCCCCCCCTCCCCCGCCTGACTGGCCTGCGGCTGGCCTGGTGCAAGGAGCTGACGGACGGGGGCCTGCTGGGCGTGGAGGAGCCCCGAGAGGTGAGCGCCCCCGAGGGGCCGGCGTGCAGTGGGCCTGGGTGGGGGTTGTCCCTGCCACAGCGCAGCAGATGGGAGGCCCAGAGCCACTGGCACAGCGCTGGTGCTTGGCAGAGGGAGGCAGGACGGAAGTGCAGTGGGAGTTCTGGTAACGGGATCCTCCCTGCCACCTCTGCAGAACCTGAAGCCGGAGCCCACGGCCTGCAGCGACTCCACCTGGACCCAGGCCCCGCAGCAACCCCGGGCCTCCCTGGCGGCGCTATGGCAGCTGCAGGAGCTGGACCTCACGGCCTGCAGCAAGCTAACCGACACCAGCATCACCCAGGTCTGGCTGCTGCGGCCCCGGAGCCCAGCTGGGCGCGAGCGAAACCCTCCTGGTTGCATGTTCGTTGCTGGGTGCCCCTCTCGGCACCAGACTGGGCCTCCATGTGCCCCGGGGGGAGGATGAGTAGACAGCGGGAGGGAGGGGGGCGAAGCTGCAGAGAGCGCCCCTCCTCTGGCACAGTGCCGAGTTAGGAGGGAGCCAGGGGAGACGGCCGTGCCGCCACGCCCAGAGGCCACTGGGCTCCCCCTCCTTCCTACACAGCCACGCAGCCCGCCCTGCGCTGCCGCCACGCCCAGAGGCCACTGGGCTCCCCCTCCTTCCTACACAGCCACGCAGCCCGCCCTGCGCTGCCGCCACGCCCAGAGGCCACTGGGCTCCCCCTCCTTCCTACACAGCCACGCAGCCCGCCCTGCGCTGCCGCCACGCCCAGAGGCCACTGGGCTCCCCCTCCTTCCTACACAGCCACGCAGCCCGCCCTGCGCTGCCGCCACGCCCAGAGGCCACTGGGCTCCCCCTCCTTCCTACACAGCCACGCAGCCCGCCCTGCGCTGCCGCCACGCCCAGAGGCCACTGGGCTCCCCCTCCTTCCTACACAGCCACGCAGCCCGCCCTGCGCTGCCGCCACGCCCAGAGGCCACTGGGCTCCCCCTCCTTCCTACACAGCCACGCAGCCCGCCCTGCGCTGCCGCCACGCCCAGAGGCCACTGGGCTCCCCCTCCTTCCTACACAGCCACGCAGCCCGCCCTGCGCTGCCGCCACGCCCAGAGGCCACTGGGCTCCCCCTCCTTCCTACACAGCCACGCAGCCCGCCCTGCGCTGCCGCCACGCCCAGAGGCCACTGGGCTCCCCCTCCTTCCTACACAGCCACGCAGCCCGCCCTGCGCTGCCGCCACGCCCAGAGGCCACTGGGCTCCCCCTCCTTCCTACACAGCCACGCAGCCCGCCCTGCGCTGCCGCCACGCCCAGAGGCCACTGGGCTCCCCCTCCTTCCTACACAGCCACGCAGCCCGCCCTGCGCTGCCGCCACGCCCAGAGGCCACTGGGCTCCCCCTCCTTCCTACACAGCCACGCAGCCCGCCCTGCGCTGCCGCCACGCCCAGAGGCCACTGGGCTCCCCCTCCTTCCTACACAGCCACGCAGCCCGCCCTGCGCTGCCGCCACGCCCAGAGGCCACTGGGCTCCCCCTCCTTCCTACACAGCCACGCAGCCCGCCCTGCGCTGCCGCCACGCCCAGAGGCCACTGGGCTCCCCCTCCTTCCTACACAGCCACGCAGCCCGCCCTGCGCTGCCGCCACGCCCAGAGGCCACTGGGCTCCCCCTCCTTCCTACACAGCCACGCAGCCCGCCCTGCGCTGCCGCCACGCCCAGAGGCCACTGGGCTCCCCCTCCTTCCTACACAGCCACGCAGCCCGCCCTGCGCTGCCGCCACGCCCAGAGGCCACTGGGCTCCCCCTCCTTCCTACACAGCCACGCAGCCCGCCCTGCGCTGCCGCCACGCCCAGAGGCCACTGGGCTCCCCCTCCTTCCTACACAGCCACGCAGCCCGCCCTGCGCTGCCGCCACGCCCAGAGGCCACTGGGCTCCCCCTCCTTCCTACACAGCCACGCAGCCCGCCCTGCGCTGCCGCCACGCCCAGAGGCCACTGGGCTCCCCCTCCTTCCTACACAGCCACGCAGCCCGCCCTGCGCTGCCGCCACGCCCAGAGGCCACTGGGCTCCCCCTCCTTCCTACACAGCCACGCAGCCCGCCCTGCGCTGCCGCCACGCCCAGAGGCCACTGGGCTCCCCCTCCTTCCTACACAGCCACGCAGCCCGCCCTGCGCTGCCGCCACGCCCAGAGGCCACTGGGCGCCAATAAAAGCCTCTAACCAGCCCCCATGTGTGCTCTGTGCGAGTGTTTATTGTCCAAAGGCTGGGCCGGGGGCCCTGTTCTCAGCCCCGGGCAGGGCAGCGAAGATCAGTGCCAAGACAACCGGCAGGAGGTCCCTTTGTGCAGTTGGGGGGGAGGCCTGGTGCCGGGGGCAGGGTGCTCAGTAGAAGCACCAGGCTGGAGGGATCCAGTGCAGGGCACCCGTGGGCGCAGGGCAGTTACAGTAAGTGCAGTATCATGGCCGAGGGGGCAGAGAACGGGGTGGGGCCGGTTACGGTAAGTGCAGCGT